GTGTAAAATATATACCAGATACTGAAGGTTTAATACAAAAAACTAAAAATCTCATTATTATTTCATATTATGTCAGTAATTTTTGAATATATTACATGAAATAAAAATATACTGTTGAAACCAAACACACTGGTTGTTTTACTAATTTATAATGTGGCTACTAGAAGATTTTAAAGTACCTATGTGATTCACTTTATAATTCTATTGGACTCCTGCTGGGATAGTAGGTGTCAGCAAATTACAAGGCACTGTTTTTGTAAATAAAGCTTTATTGGTACAGAGCCATGACTATTTACATACTATCTAGGGCTGCTTTTCCACTGCAGAGTAGAGCTGAAAAGTAGGACTCTCAGAGTAGTCCTGAAAAGCTGAAAATATTTAATATAATGGCTTATTATGCAAAGTATTTGTAGAAGGTCTGTTTTGGGTTACTAAGAAATAAGACCAACCAATGATAAGAAGTATCATGCTAAGGACATATAGAAGGAAAAGAAATGATTGTCTTCGTGTTACTCTAGGTAACGCTGCCCTTGACTTACACGGGTTGTCCTTGTAAAGTATTTGCAATATTTTTGAAAATTAAAATTTGCAATATGAAGAACTTAATCCTGATAATGCCCAGATAAAGAATAACTTTGAAACTGCCTAATTCACCTACTCTAACTACTTCATGACTAAGGAAATTAAAGCTCAGATAAGTGAAGAGACTTGTCCAAAATATTTCTATTCTAAATTAAGTGGTATTTCCATAAGGTCATTATCATTCACTCATTCACTGATTCATACTCTCCACCCATCTCTAATTTTGATCATTAAAGTAATAAAATCCCTATCAGAAAATCAACACTTAATAGCAGAGGAACCCTTGAATAATATTGAGCAACAAATAGGCTGTAAGATAGTTTTTAAATTAAGCTTCATTTGAAAATACTGTATAGAGAACCTATCATGTAATCTGCTTTCAAATTAAACTTGAAATTCCCCCAAACGTAGAGCCAGCTTGCTAAAAATATTCCTTATTGGAATTAAATGTTAAAAATTTGCCACATCTTGGAGAAAGTGAAATCTGTTCAAGACTTCACAGCAACATATAACTGCCTGTTCCAGCAGCTACCCTCATGTCAGTGTATTATTCTAGAACCTTTCACTGGGCTCACCATTTCTAGTCTCTGTCCCACTCAAGACCTATTCCAAAAAAAAAAAAAAAAAACCCTTTCAAAATAAAACTCTCATACCCTGACCCTCAGTCTCTTCATGCAGTCAAGATAAAACCCACTTTCCTTATTTGGCTTGGAAAGCCTTCATCATGTGGCTTCCACCTGCCCCCACGGCCTCATTTTCTGTCCTCTGCATGTCCAACTAAGCTCCTTCCAGTCCCCGAATGTTTCATACTTTTATCCCATTTCATACACTTGCCTATGGTTTCCCCACTCCTAGACCTCTCTCCACTCCAGGCTACTGGTCCCCACCCCCATACTGGACTCACTCCATCACAGAACTTATCTATATTGTAACTGATTGTAACTGTTGAAGTATTAATTCTACCACTGCTGGGAGAAGTTAGTATTTAACACCTCACTGCAGGTCAAGTGCTACATTGTTTCATTTAATCTTGACTGTGTTATAGAGGAGACAGGGGCACAAGAAACAAAGTCAGGGGAAGACAAGATATAAACCCACACATCACCACTCTTAGCCAGGTTCTTAATTCCACACCAGTGGTTTTCAGTGCAGGTGATTTTGCTCCCATGAGACATATGGCAATACCTGGAGACATTCTTCATGGCTCCAAGTACCTAGCGGAGTAAGAGGCCAGTGATGCTGCTAAATATCCTAGAATACACAGTGCAGCTCCTCATAGGAAAGAATTGTTCAGTCCCAACTGTCAATGATTCAGAGGCCGAGAAACACTGCTCTATGCTAAATTAATGCCTGTAGATTGACCCAGGAGACTGAGCATCTCTGTAGCAAGGATTTTTAAAGGTTCACCATGGGGTCTTGGAACCTGCCAGAGCCTGGTACCCAGAAGATGCCCAGTGCATACAGGATGGGTGGGTGGACAGGTGAATGCAGGAGTGAGGGATTAATGGATGGATGGGTGTGTGGGTGGGGGTGGATGTAGAGATAGAGGGCTGGACTGAGGAAGGGACAGATTTCAGGAGAAAAGAAATGTTTATTATTTTAAGGCTTGGTTTTTGTGGCACCTGAAATAAAAATAAATCAGAAAACACATTTTTAATTAACAGTAAATGAATTCATATAGAGTACATTCCAGAGGATGCCTGTGCCTTAGCAATACCTCATATGTATGAATCTATAGTGTGAGATTACATTAACAAGCCAAAGGCCTAGGATTATTTTTTCAAGAGTCCCTCACAGGTACTACACAACAGGATGAATTGATATGTTCATCACCCACACAGGCCATAATTTAGATTGTTTTTTTGAAAGATTTCCTGTATAAGGTTCCCCAGGTATCTTTAAAAAATAAAACACAAATAATATAAGGATATACAACTGTATGCTTCCTCCTGTTGTAACTACAATTCAGCTATAAATATATTATTCTAGATTTCCAGATGCTGGGAGTAAAATAGGGAGGAAAAATTACAATGAATCTTAGGCGAAATTCAAAAATGTAAACAAAAACATATAAGGCAGGAATAAACCATTCTCTGCCTGGAGTCAATTCATATATCGAAATACCAGAAATGAAGTCAAGAAAAGATATTTTCTGGTTATAACATTTTTAAAGTAACAGCAATTTAGCCTAATTTTTACATCATCACAATGGCAGCATTAATTGCTATTGAATACAAACGGATAGATTTTTCTACAGAAGAGCATAAAGGTTCACTGTGAGTGATCACTTGTCATAAAATGTAGTGAAGGGGCTTCCCTGGCGGCTCAGTGGTAAAGAATCGGCCTGCCAGTGCAGAAGACGCGGGTTCGATCCCCGATCCCGGAAGAGCCGACGCGCAGAGGAGTAAAGAGTAACCACTGACCACGTGCTCTCAGCCAGGGCGCCGTGACCTCTGAGCCCGGGCGCCTGGAGCCCGTGTGCTCTGCACCAAGAGAAGCCCGCGCAGTGAGCAGCCTGCGCGTGGCCACGAGAGCGTGGCCCCACTCGCCACCGCCAGAGAAAGTCCCGGCAGCAACAAAGACCCAGCACAGCCAAAAAGAAACAATGTTAGTTTAAAAATGCAGCAGAAGTTAAAGCCTGCCTGCTAAACCGCCTCAGCCGCATCCGACTCTTTGCAACCCCAGGGACTACAGCTCCCCAGGCTCCTCTGTCCAGGGGATTCTCCAGGCAGGAACACGCGGGTGGGGTCTCATGCTCTGAAGCAGATGGGACTAATTTTTAAGTGCAAGGACCATGAATTATTCCTCACAACCTTTTGCATCCAATGTCGGCCAACTGTGGTTTTACATACACACACACACACACACACACACACACACAATATGCTGATCAAATAAGTTTTGGTACACTGTCCCTGTACACAAGAAAAGTGGGCTCTGAAAACACTTGCCTTAAGTTGTTAAACTGAGGACCTCCCACAGAGTAACCAGTAGAAAGTAAAATCGGACGAGGATGTCCCCAAACACTCAGCAGTGCGGAGGAGGACGGAAACTGATGACAGGGTTTGCAGCTGGGGACATCAGCATGGTGGTGGCACTTCTCGCCATGGGAACCATGGCTGAAGCCAGAGACGAGCAGTGCCTTTCTTGCTGTTTGTGAGAACAGGACACAGGCTTGTCAGAGGAGCCTCTGCGAGGATCGACATGCGGGTGGGGAGATACTGATGCAGATGGGAGAGAAAACGGAAAACACTGACCCTAACCCAAGAACCTCACGATCGCTAACCTCAATCATGAACAGGTGAGCAGTTGTTCTGAACAACCAGGGCTGAAATCTGGGGAAACAGTCTCAAGACAAACAAGAGGAAGGAGGAATGTAGCAGGACCTTCCTGGGAACCACTGAACAACCTACGTCACAAGGGTCAGAAGACGCAACGGGCTCTGAAGGCCACGATCATACAGTCTGCCACCCAAACAAGGACTGTCTTCTCCACTCTCCTCAATTCAGACACTCCTGGGCCTCCAGAGGAGTCAGAGAGCGTACTTCTCAAATGAAGAAGATACACCTGTATACAGCATGTCTTTGTCCAGGCTTTTGCTTTCATCAGCTCATCATTCACGACTTTCTGAAAAAAAAAACCCTGCATTCTTGATCATGGAAGAGAAGCCATGATACCTGAAAGCTCTTTTTTTTTTAGAACTAGGAAGTTGAGTAATTAGTTCAGCTCAGTCTTTTCCTAATTGTTATATGTGCCCCATCTACAGTCCACTTTTGGCATACACTCACACACACACGCATGGACACACGTACATGCATATGTTATACACATTACTATACAGTTATCTACACAATGAAAATAATACAAATATTCTGCATGCACTGTATACACACATCCATATCAGTCATGAAGGAAAAGCTATAGTGTGCTTCCTGGGAAAGAGGCGAGCTCCTGGGTCCTAAGTCCTGGGTCTCCTGACTTGTCACTTGAAAAGGATACTTAAGTTCATAGCGGAGCTCAGCTTCTCACTCAGCAAAAATAGTGCCACAGAAGAAGAGCCGCCAGGACATAAAGTCTCCAAAGTGCCTTGAAATGAGGACAGTATGGACCAAGCAACATTAGCATTAAATGTGGATCACGATTCTAGCTGTCGGTTGGGCAGATTCCTGAGAAGACGTGGAAATACTATTTGTGACTCGGTGATGCAGACAATCCCCCTCTCGCCCACTGACCTAAATGCCACAACTGACGAACACTTTAGGCCCTTAAGGTGGAGAGTGACCATCCTTAATCAGAGATGCACCAGCCTAAACTTATGCAATCCCAGACCACATGGATCCCAAGAGAGTCCTGGGTGAATCGTGGTGCAATTTACACTAATACACATGGGTGGCAAACCTCAGAAAACCATTACCTCCTCAGATTAAAAGAAGTTTATTTCATCTAGGGGGGCCATGTGAGGGACCCCAACAGGCATTCCGTTCCATCACAGTGGAGACCATTTCAGAATTTCTCTGCATTAACATCTGTCTAGTGTCTCACAGTTTACTAGGCTGTAGCTGAGCTGCAGAGCAACCAGAGGGGCCAGGCACACAGTAGGTACACAAATCTTTGTAGCCTGAAAGAGAAATCAAATCAGATAATTGAAATGAATTTAAATAAAGCAGGGAGTTAACCTGCCATCTATTGTCCAACCAGCTCAGGCAAGAGGATAAGCCCTTCTAGCAAAATTCTCTGCTGTGATAGGGACTTACAATGTAAGCCAGGCAGCAAACATTCACTTGAGCAAAACTAAGTCAGAAGATGACACCGGATACAGTACCAGACAGGAAAGAGAAACATCTTCCCTTCCCCTCCCATTCATTCTTCCAAAGGAGTGTCTCCCTGAACCCAGGTGTCAAAGCCTTGGCTAGATGCACTATGAGTCAACGATGAGGAAACCCGCAGCCCATCATCACCGTTCAGAGGGGAAGACAGATGAAACAGACACAAACAAACAAACTGTCCTGCAGGTCGATAACTACACAGTGTGTGCGCGTGCGCTCAGTCACGTCTGACTCTTGGCAACGCCATGGAGTGTAGCCCGCCAGGTTCCTCTGTCCATGGGATGCTCCAGGCAAGAATACTGGAGTGGGTTGCCATTTCCTACTCCAGGGGATCTTCCCGACCCAGGGATCAAACCTGCGTCTCTTGTGTCTCCTAAACTGGCAGGCAGATTCTTTGTCACTGCACCACCTGGGAATACAGGCTAAAGCACCAAGCACCAGGGCCACCTGCTGAGAGAGGTTTATGGCCACAGGGTCATTTTCCAGTACTTGGACCTGAACCATCCTCTCAGCCTGCTCCAGTTTAAAAGCTTGGCTGAGACACTGGACATTTGAGAAAGTCAGCCTAAAGAACATGTTAACCATTCATTCCTCTAGCTTTTCTGAGCTCTATTTCTGCACTGGAGACAGTGTCCAAAATCTCCACCACTGAGCCATGGGAGCTCAGGCCCCCACAGCTAAAGTCCCACTAGGTGATTGTTCATTACTATACTTTCTGCATCTTTTTTCTCTTGCAGGTTGGCAAAAGACTTTACCATATAAATAATTTTACTTCACTTTCTGTAGAAATGAAGTTTAAGTTACATGACATGCTATTTCATTGGAGTATAACTAGTTGGCATGCACGCAGAGGTAAGCCCTCTACAAATGTTATCTGATTTATCCTTACAGGTTCTGTACACACTTGCCACCTCAGTGGCCCCCTCCCCCTTTTTTCCTGTTAACTTGGACACAGAAATTCAGAGCTAAATTAAAAACTGAAAAGCAATAAGCACTTATTTCAGTTTAATTTACGCCTAAGACTTTGATCTCTCTTCCTTTATCATTTTTACTGGTCTCATCACTTTGTGGGATTTTTTTTTTTTTTAACTATGCATTTACTGATACATGTTTCTGGAAGTCAATACTCTATAAACAAAAATAAATGACCAGAACCATCCATTGTAATTTCCTTTTAGTCTCAACTGTCACAAGAGTTTCCATGAATAGCTAATTTGAAGACTCCCCCTTGGGCATCACACCTCCGTCACTTGGAAACTCTGATAGTGTAATATTTCCCATAATTATCAGGTTCAGAATCTGTTTATGAAATGGGGCAAGGAGACAGGGAAGAGGTTGACTGACTTAACTTACACGTAGGGTAGCAGCCTAATCTACCAGCAAGGGTATCGTGTGCTGGGTCTTGACAGTCCCATTCGCCCCTTCCCCAACAGCTACTTTTGCAGGCCAGCGACACCACCACACGCCCTTGGTCCCCTTGGGGCTGCCAAGGCCAAAGGCACTGCCAGAACCTGCTGAGTGAGAAGGCATTGCTATCATCCAGTGATGTCTGTTCCCTGGAATCTCACTCTCAGCACTGACAATGCCTCTGGAACTCATAAAGATTCTGCTGAAACCCAGGGAGTTGAAGGTCAGTGTCTTCAGGGAATGAAGGTAACATGTAAGACAAACTGTTTCTGAGGATTTCCAGGTACTCAAGGCAAATGCCCCCAGGAAGAACTCACAGAAATAACTCTGAGTTGTCACTACACAAAACAGGGCTAGCTTTCATATCAAAAGAGAGAAGCTTAACCACATACATATGGCACAAACACAGGTACAGATCTTGGCATACCCCATTGATACCCACGGAGATGCTTACTTAAGTATTTTGGGGAATGTGGGGTTTGGGCACAACCATTTATTTACTCAACAAAGATTTATCCAGCACCTACTATGTGCTAAGCACCAGTCAAGATGCTAGAAAATCATGAGTAAACACGGCAGTCAAGACCCTTTTTCTCATGGACTCTACAGTCTAGACAGGGAAGACAAGGACTCAACAAGGAGCAACTGAAATGAACTCAGATACCAAATAAGACCACGGAAGAGGGACACGGAAGCAAAAACAAGGCCAGGGTTCTGAGAAGCAATGGGAGCCTGCCTTGGCTCCAATATCAGGGAAGCACTCTTAAAAGAAGCAACACATAGTCTTACAGTACAATGACAAAAAGGAGCTCAAGAAACCAGTCATCTTTACTCTGATTTCCTTCAAAAAGATGAGCCTACTAAGAGGAAATGTGCAATACCATCTGTGGCTCCACACGCCATGTTTCAGCAACTGCAAAAATCCCAGGAAAGGAAAAGGATCCACGACGTTCTCCACTGGGAAGGAAAGTTCAAGAAACCTCCTTTTCCCAAAGTTGCTAAATTAAAAGGGATCAGTCTTAATTTGCCTCTAGAGCAGAATTTGCTACAAAGAGTCTAAAGAGGGGGAAATGGAATGCTAATTTCTCTTTTAATGTCAGTTACTTTATAAAAAATCATTTTTCAATGTCAATAAAATTATGCCTTTGCATTGTAATGCCACCAGGAATTGCTTTATTTAGGAAAAGTCTATGGCGAAATTCAGTATCATTTACTTTCACTTGTTGAAAAATAGAAGCAAATCACATTTACTAGCAGAGGACACAACTTCAACATACAATTAAACTTTGAAACTCATTAAGAATAAGATTCTGATGATCTCTATTCAACATGCACAAATAATAAATGACTGTTCACCAATGCCTTCACATATCTCATCTCAAATAAGTTGCTTGATACTGAATTTCTGTTAAAGTCAATTAAAACGCTTAGCCAACTGGCATGAAAACTCCCGAAAACATCCATTGCTTAGAATACCTTTCATCAAAACACCTTTTTCATTCGTGTTTCCTAGTCCCTGCCTTGTTTCAGGATCAGAGAGGCGAGCAGTAGTGAATCAGGGAGCTATCTGTCACTGTGAATATCCAGAATGAACCGGTGAAAATATTTTGACTAACATGGAATTTGTATTACTTTGCAATCCAGAGCATGCTACATATTGCTGCGATGTAAATATGCATACTAAAAGGTCAAATAATATAAAATTATTGCCCCAAAGGTCTACATGACCCAATATACTGATACTGTTAGAAACTGCTGTGCTGTTATTAATACACTATCCAAGGAATGCTTAATTTCTTGAACTTCAAAACAGGTCTTTAAAACTGACTCTCACAAGCATCACAAGGATCAATAACATGCTAAAGGGAAGACTTTGTTTCATGTATTTACTAGGCTTAGTGTTTGAATCTTCACAAATTCTGTGTGTGAGAAGGGCGGGTGTCTGCTCAGGTAAACGCTTGTCTCTTCCTTCGCTTCACTTGATCAACTGTCATGATTCCAGACCCCACCTTGAACATTTCCCATTTGTGGAAAATTCTACATTGAACCTTCCAGACCCCAAACACTCACCCCACCTCCACTGAAAACAAATCAAAAGACTTAAGATTCAACACTAATAAGAACCTGATGATGGTCGCCGGGAAATAAAAAGGACCACATCCACCAGGAGTAAAAACTCCCCCAAATGAGACCTTCTCCGAGGGGTGGCGGGGGTGGGGGAGAGCGCGCAGCTGGCACCACTGCGCGGATCGGAACCGACTCCAGACGGCCCAGGGGAAGATGCTGCGTCAAGAGAAGCGAAGCAAGAAGCGCGACCCGGAGGCGAGCGAAATCGTCCGCAAATCCCCAAGGAGGTGGGCAGACGCCAAGTCGCCAGGCGCGGGCACCGGCGCACGCCACCCGCGGGGTCCGTGCCGCCTGCAAAGCCCGGAGCTCCGGGGCAGGAGACCAGGGGGCTGGGGGACCCTACGTCCCTTTAAACCGGCTCCACCGCCCCCCACCCCCACCATTCCGAACCCTCGTGTCATAGAACTTCCTCATCATGGAAAGTTCCACTGGGTTCGGCGCCAAGGATGCCAAACTCCGGGTCACAAGGAGTCTGGCAACCAGCCGGGGCTTGGGGTCCGAGGGCCACGGCCGCCCCAGCCGCCCCGCTCCGCCGCTGCCCACGCCGCGGCTCCCCGAAGGTGCCCGAGGCGTAGGGCACCTCCTCCCCGCGGCGGGCACCCGGCGGCTGACACCCCACCCACGCCCGCCCGCGCGCTCGGCGTCGCCGCTCGCACCCCGAGGGGTTCCCGCGACACCCCCGCCCGCCCGCCCTCCGGACAGCCGGGACTGTCGCCCCCGCACCCCCCGCCTCCGCGCCGTCCTCTCGCCGAATTACCGGGGCGCTGGAGCTGGCCGGGTGGGGCGCCCCCGCCAGGGGAGGCAGCCTGCGGGCGCTGCCCGAGCCCGGAGCTGGAGGGCCGCTTCCCCGGCGCACTCGCCTTATTCATGCAAAGTTAATCCCCGCCGCGTCACGGCCGCCCGCCCGAGGACGCGCGCCCGCCTTGGCCGAGCCCCGCAGTCTCCACCCTCCTCCGCCCCCTCCTCCCGGCGGCGGGGTCCCGGGAGCGCGTCCTGCAAAATGTCAACTCCCCGGGCGGAGACCTGCCGCCCCAGGTGCGGGCGCCCCCGGGCCCGGTCCGGGCCGTGCCCTCCACCCCGGAGTCCTCCCCCGGCGGCGATGTCGCGGCCGTTTTGGTGGCCGCGCGTCCACCCACCCGGCTGCGTGCGCAGGGAGGTTCGGGCTTGGGCGTCATTCCTCTAGTCGGCAGAGAGGAAGGGACGGGGGACGAGGACACGGGGCCGGGAGGGGTGACTTCCAGAAGCCCGGGCTCCGCCGGGCCCCGGCCGCCGCGCTCCTCCCTCCTTCTCCAAACCACTTGTGGCGCGTGTCGGGGCCGACGCGGCGCTCTGGCTCCTCCTGGGGCCTCGCTCCCGCCGGGCGTCTGGCGGTCCCCCCCATCGCCAACCCCGGGGCTGGAAGTTTTGGAAAATACCTGGCTTGCGCTTGCGGGAGACACCCCCTTCGCACCACCCCGCACATCCTGGGAGCCAGGCGCGGGGTGGAGACCCCGCACGGGTTCCAGAAAGACCGCCTGGCTGGTTTGTCTTTGCCCGGGACACGTCCAAATAAAACCCGGAAGACAAAAATAATTTATACTCTTGAAAAGTCCTGCCCGAGTCAGATACGCACTTCTAAAATCCACCCCCCCCCCCCCCACCCTAGTCCTGAAGGCCGAGGGTCCAGGCTGGGAGAAGAGGAAGCAGGCTTCTGCGGTTCTGGGTTAGAAGCGTGCTTGTGAAAATTCTCGGTACCCAGGAAACGAAAATGTCATCGGTCAGAAGCCCGAATTGCCAGAGAGCTATTTGGACGACAGGGTATAATGATTTTCTTACAGATAATATTAAAATAATTCCGACTTCATTATTCAGTGTACACATGTATTAGCATAACCAACTGTTTTGACAGAGCTTTGACTTTTTTTAGCCTCACTGTCTGAACGAGGATTTATTGGAGAGTTTTCTAGATCTGCAGCCAGTGGAGTGTGTTCTAGTCCCAATTCTTGTGAGCATTCCGGGGAAAGGGACGAGATGCCTCTTGACACAACTGTCAGGAATTCAGAAACTGCCCTGCTCCGGGGCGCAGCGTTTGAGCGCTCGAGGGAGTTGCAGACCCCAGGGTTCCCTGGCGAGACGGAGGGACCTCTCCTTTCAGACTCCAAGGACCTTCTTTCCCCCTCGGTCCTTGGCAAGAAATCCGGGCTTTTTTTTCTTCATGCTGAACAAGGCGGCACCCTAGGACTTGCAGGCTTTGTAGCCGGAGAGAAGCTGTTCTCCTCTTGCAGGGAAGTTCCTGGGCTTTGCTCCAAAGCAGCCCGGGATGTTTTGGTTGGTTTGGAGGAAAGCTGTGGCGTCTGCACCATTTGAACCAAACAGGCGGCCCTCTGGTGGCTAACCATGGGCGAAAGGCTGGCCACTGAGGGAAAAGCCTGCCCTGAGAGGCCAGCACGGTTGACACCTGGGCTTCTCGGGGCCCTGGAGCCCCTAAAACTGCTTTGAGAGGACAGGAGGTGGGTGCTAGGTTCTAATCCACTGGGGCTTTTTTTTTTTTTTAATTGAAGTATACTTGATGTAAAGTATTGTGTTTAATTTTTGCTGTAAAGCAAAGTGATTCAGTTTTACACATCTAAACACTTTTTTATACTCTTTTCTATTATGGTTTATCATAAGATATTGAATATAGTTCCCTATACAGGACCTTATGTTTATCTATCCTATAGTTTGCATCCTCTTCCCGAGTATAACTGGGAGCTCACTTCCTTCTTAAGTAGGAAACATCATACAGAGAACAGAATATAATAAAAGCTGTTGCTTCCCTTTGTTCCCTGACTTTGTTTTTGTGATCTCATTTGGCCTGGAAACTTCTGAAATAAAGAGTAAATGAAAGCTAAATAAACAATGTGGCATTATTCAAGCAATTAATGAAGCAATGTTATATAACAATAAGTGAGGGTAATTTTATTTATTTATTTTTTGGCCACACTGGCGTGTGGGATCTTCGTTTCTGGACCAATCATCCCCTGTGCCCTGTGTTGGGAGCTCAGAGTCTTCATCACCGGGCCTCCAGGGAAGGCCCCAGGCCAGGGCAATGTTGGTGCAGTGTTATTGAGACAGCGTGATTCCATCGGAAATCAGCCCACTGAGTCTTCCAGGCTGCGTCACAGTGAGGAAGGGTTACCAACAGGACATGGTGTTTGTTTTTCTAATTTTACACAAGGGGGTACATTGGAGGAGAATTTTACAGGGACTTGATTGAAGGCAGAAAGTTGTATTCAAATTTTAGACCACAGGGTCCTATGTTCCGATCTGAGAGGGCACGCCAAAGCTGTTCTCGTGACCTAGGCTCACCCTTCTCCGTAGCCACCATCATTACCAGGGGCTACAAATTGCAGGCTGGTGACCTGGTTCAAGGAAGCAAATCATTCATATATTCATGTATTCATCAACTGCCGGGGTAAGAAGAGGAATAAAACAGCATCCAGCAGGGCTGGGGTGACACTGGGGGCAATGAGGCCGGTGGTACCAAACAGGGTCCAAGCCTCTCTCTACTGAACATTTTGATACACTGTTCATCTGGGGTAATTTGTTGCATTCATTTTGATGTTTAAAATATGGCATTAAAATATTGTCTCTCAACTACTGAGTTTTTTTATGTTCCTTTAAATTTTGCATTCAAAATGAAGCAAGAGCCTCATTTATCCCAGCCTGGGCTCCCTCTGCTGTGACCTAAGTGTTAGCAGAGTCTAACCAGAGAAGTAAAATTCAATTCAAACTATATTAGTATTTAAGATAATTAGTATATGGTAAGGAACTTCAGGGCTTTCCAGGTGGCTCAGGGGTAAAGAATCCACCTGCCAAGCAGGAGACGTGGGTTCGATCTCTGAGTCGGGAAGATCCCCTGGAGAAGGAAATGGAAACCTGCTCTAGTTTCTCTGGGAAACCCCATGAACAGAGAAGCCTGGCGGCCACAGTCCATGGGGGTCGGATGCAACTTGGTGACTAACAGCAACAGAGGAGCTTGATGTCAGGTTTAGAAACATGGGTGTGTGGGAACGGAAAAATGGGGAGATTTCACTCAACGGGGCTGCACTTAAACCAGTCTGTTGAGGACGGACCAGATTTCACCATGAAGTGCTGGAACCAGAAGTACCATTGTAGGCCCCAGAACCAGTGGTTTTCACTCATTCATTCCACAGCTGCTTCTCAAGTTCACTGTGCAACCAAATTACCCAACCCTGGAGCTCTTGATTCTATCTGTTGATTGTCAGTTGCTGGAATTTACTTTGGCTATGAGGGCCCCAGTGATTCTGGTTCATGGCCAGTCAAATAAAAATGTCAAGTCTGTTCCTGCCCTTCAGAGAAAAGACAGACTTAATAGGGAGATACCATGCTTAAAGTTAACGCTAAAAGTCAAGGTGCAATGAGAAATATATAAATGTAAATTACTAGGTAGTTGCTGGTGAGGAAGACTGGTTCAGGTGAGACTTTTTGTAGAAGGTCCTGGGTGGAAATTCGGGGAGAAGCTAGAGTAAAGAAAGGAGGTTGCCAGTTGTATTATTAGCAGGACCCAGTGGAAAATGAAAATGCAGAGCCCTTTATTCAAGAAGCAGGAAAAAAAAAAGTGCCACACTAAAGACAAAAATATATAAAGCTCTCTCTTTTGTTCCATGTTCTCTCTTTGGAATGATTATGGTATTTTTTATTTGCTATTTAATATCATTCTAAGTAAAGGAAAACAAGCATTTTAAATGACTAGAATCAATTTCACTGCTCATTTTTAGATCATGCAGTGCTAGTTTTAAGGGAAAATATAGGAGCATTTAACTCATTGCGAAATCAACACAATTACTCAATCTGTATTTTGTAGCAAGTATGTGCGGATACTTTGTGGTTTGCATATGCAGATATGTTTTGTTCTCACCAGAACAGTTGAAACACAGCACAAAACTGACTC